TGGACTCGGGAGGAGCTGTATCAACTCGACGTAAGGACCCGAAAAATGATGCATCTCTATAGGAGTTTGCATCCCAAATCGTCCGTTCCAAGGTTGTACTTCCCCCGACAACAGGGAGGTCGTGGACTTTTGAGTTTGGAGTATCTACATGACAGAATGATACTGGATACAGCCTGTAAAGTCGTCAAGAGTTCGGATCCCCTTCTCTGCATGGTCCGTGACCATGAGAGAGCAGGAATTGGAGCATTTCTCCTGCAGCTATGACCTGGCCTAAAACCAGACTGGTTATTTTGAATAATATCGTTTTTCGATGAATGTTTTCAAATTTGGTTTTCAATGACGTTCTCCAATTCCAATTCGATTAGAGTTTGTACAGATTCAGTGCATGTGGAAGATCATTCGATTTATCATAGAGAGTTTTTCAAATTAACCGCAAATTACGGAAAATACCATCGATTAGAAGTGTCTGTATTAGAAACAACGATGTTTCAAAATTTTTCTCTTGATATTTTCAAGACGTTCAACATAAACTGAATATTGAGAGTTCCGTATAGAGGGGGCGAAGCTCAAATGGCTAAAAAAAATGTCTGAAAACGTAAATTTATGACAATCAAAAATAGTTCTTATATTGATAAACTTTTTGAAATCATCTGCATAAACTAAAAATTTGCAATACCTGAAGCATTCTGAAATATCCACATGAGTGGACCCAAGTGTGATCCTTGCGTTACACCCGATTTTATTGGATGTTATTGAACGAATAACCGTGGAGTGAGACATACTGGGTTCTCTCAGAGAGAAATAATGATATCCAAGCTAAAAGAGAACCATCCACACCCATTTCAGCAAGTCTTCTGAGCTAGATATCATGGCCGTGATTATTGTAAATGGCGTCAACTCGGATTTGATCATCCAACGCGTACAAAAAGTATTCCGAGTAACATATAAGTTTTGATTCGAAAGATCTATTTTTGAAAAAACCATGCTACTGTAGCATTACTTGGCGCAATACCAATTGATAAATTTAAATACAAACATACTTCCCAAATGGTTCAGCAAACATACAAAAACCCTATAAATACTGATGATATTTTTCTGTCTGGATTTGAACATCGGAACGAGGAGTAGGAGTAACGAGACTCAAACGGTACCTTTTCACTAAAATAAAAGGAATTCAATCTGACCCTTCTTCTTTATTTGGATCAAGATGTTGTAAGCCTTCCATTATTTTCATATAAAAGGAATGGCAATTCTTGTGAACAGTTTGCTTTGAAGATATTCAACAAAGAAAGTTAAACTTTCTCAAATTTTCATCTCCAAAAATAAAAATTCACCTCAACTCTCTTAATAAACATTCCCGAAACCCCCATAACTCCACAAACTTCTCGTTCCAAGGAATGCTTCCAATTCCAAAAGCCAGACATAACTGCTCCAACTGAACTGAACCAAAATCATCCCTCTGCGACTACCGAGGCGCATCCCCTTGAGCGGCAACAAGTTGTCGAAATTCGTAAAGGCAATTAAATGTCTGTTACATTTCTCATATTATTATGTTTCCCGATTTTATGCTCACCGTCGATTCGGCTCGGAGATGATTTCGTAAGCGAAAGCGATTTTTGCGGGGCGATAAACACACCCCCGAGCGTGTAAATAACCCCGTGTTGGTTTTATACGAATCCGAATTTATTCCCCTGGCGGTGTAAAAGGGTTATAATAAATTGAGGGCGATTATATCGTAGGGAAATTAAATTCACCGGAGATTTGCTCGGGTAATGAATTCTTCAAATTTATTTCGGATACACTCGAAATGTTTTGCATCATCGGAATTCTCAGGACAAGACTGCGATTAATTTATTTCATAAAAGAAAAAAATGTTTTTCCAACTTGGAGCTCCAGGTAAAAATATATTGTTTGTTTTTTTTTTCTGATTGATTCGGCCGTTACTTGATGAAGATCCATAGTAATTTATCAAGTGATTTGATAAAGCTACCGTGCTATCGAAAAATAAGTTTGTGGAGATCAAATCGTGGGGTGTAGTTTCTGAAATTATATTGTTTGTTTGGCTGAATAGTAATCAAAGTGTGTGAATATCTTTCTGTCTCTCAATTCAATTCAATTGAAAACAAACTTCATTGTCTGAAGAATGAGTTCTTATTGACAAGCCAATGTAAAAAATATAAATAAAAAGTGTACGAAGTGGGATATTAAATGTACAAAAATAATTAAATGTTATCAACAAAATAACAATACAAACATTTCTGAAAAACTTCCAAAGAAAAGAAGCAAGCGATTGGTTCAAAATAGTGTTTCGAAAGTATTTTTGTCTTT